GCATTTTTCGATTGCAAATTAAATTTTAATCGCACAAACTGTTATTAATTATTTACTATTAAAAATCCAGAAGTGATTAAAAAGTGGCGGTTCGACTTGGAATATTCCTTTACATATAACAAGATGTTTTTCTACAGCGGCGTTAGTACGGACCTGACGGAAGTAGCGGAAGAAACGGCGGTGAACCTTGCAAACGCATGCTGACAACGCACGAGATGCGACGATAGCGCGAGGAAAGATGATTTATGACCGTGGGACACGCCATGTCGTTTGCTAAACTTTGCGAACGGCTACGCGAGCGAGCGTGTGCGTGTGTACGCGCGTGTGTGCGTATATGCGCGTGTCCACGTGCGCGGGGGAGTAAAGAGTGGACGAAAAACACCAAGAGCGGGGAGAGAACGAAGCGGAATGGAGAGCAGGGAGCAAACTAGAGTAGAATTTATTTCGTGTTCTAGAGAGAAAGCATAGTAAAGCCCTCTCTGAACACTATACATGATATATGAGAACATACACGACAGATAGTAAATACAAAGAAAAATTTACAAAACGAAAAGAGGACAAATACATAACTGCATGTGTAACGCAAGAAAATAAAATGACAAAAGCGAGTGGTAATCGAACAGCGAATTAAGAATATCAAACCTTATGCATATGTAATTCAATTGCATACAAAAAGAGTAATACGAAGAATATTTTCTTTAATGCACACAAGTAGGTGTAAATTATTTTTAAATTTAAGTTACTTAAAAGAAAAATACCAATTTTTTGGAAGAAAATTTTCCAGTGAAATTAAAAAAAAATAAATGTTACTGGAATATCTTATACACGCAGTTCGCTTTCAAGAGATCGAGATAGAACGAGAAAGAGGAGATAAATGGTACCAAAGCGGGCTACCGCCACGGTTCGAAGGGATTGTAACATTGAAATTTGGATCGCTGCCTTGCGAGGTTCCACGCCTCGTTAGCCCGGATGACTTTACGCGACCGCGTTTAAAAGCACGCCTTGTATACACGCACCTGTCACCGTGATATGCGCAGGGTTAAACTACGCATGATCCGCGTGCACGGTCATTACAAGGTGCAGTTTACGAGACTGTTTGTCGAGATCGCGTGATCGCTGGATCGAATGTAAGAAGGCCGCGATATTTCCGACCCACAGAAATTTCATATATATTTATTTTTCCTCTCGGCTTTATATGCGTTATTTGTTGAAAATCGAAAGAGTTATTTTTTTATTTTTTTGTAAATTAAATTTGACCGCAAAATATTTTTTAACGCATCAACAAGTTTCTTTGAAATATTTTTTCGGCAAAATTTGCTGTAGTTTCCGGGCTTTAACGCTCTGCCTCGCTTGTATTTTTCCGCAATTCTTTCAGGACCGGGACAGCTCGCGTTCGATCGCAGCCTCCAGTTTACAATTAAACAACGCGTTTACAACAAAAAACGATATCGTTGCAAGTTTGAGTAAAGAGATTGCATAGAACCTGCAATTTTTGTCGCGGCGTAATGGCGCTTCAGTTACATCGCCGCGATGAAAAAGCGTTTTTACACTTGCCATTCGGAGCCGCCGTCGCGATTCATAAAATAAAACCGAAGCCACACGAGTGCCCGGTCGGCTTATCGTAACCGCGCCGCGACATTAAAAAAACGGCATAAACGCGCGTCTATAAGTGGGCGTGTTAAATCTCTTTGGGCCCATTTCATTTTAATCGCTATACGACACACCATAATTTCGCCGAGAATCGCCATTTTCGCGCATGCGCTAATATCGCGATAGCAGATAAAATCTTTTTATAGCGGAAAGTTTATTTCATTTATGTTTCGTTTATTTTACTAAATCTATCGAGGCGCATAATTTCGTTCTGCTCGGTGAACGCGTCGAATCGCCGCCGGATTTTAACCGTCGATTGCATAATCTTGCGATCGAATTATTCAAGTAAGACTAGAATAGTATGTTTTCTTTTCTATAAAAAAGAAAAAGAAAGACTGACACCACGGCGATTTATTTATGTCGGCGTGAATTTGGGTCATTTACAGGATCCACGGATGCACGCATAATGTACAGTCCGAGTATGCATAAGTAAAAGCAATTGCAATACGCCGGTTCGATTCTGACCTTTTCTTTCTCTCGCAACGATCGATGCGGTTCGCATATATATGCGTATACATATATTGACACGTGCACTCTCTCGCTCTTTCTCATACATGCTTGTATCAGCGAAATATAATTTGCACACGCCCAATCCTCTATGCGCGAGAATGACCACTAAAAGAGAAAAACAAAATTTCCCAAATAGCTTTGCGCTTGCCGAGATAATTATTGTGATATACAAATGCAAAAAACATTTTAGAAAAAACATTTTTTTTATCGTGAAATAATATTTCAAAGATATCAAAACATTTTTTTGCTTTCAGCGTCTAGAGAGAATGCATATATATTTTTTAAACGTGTGAAAAAGACTGTACATTTTTTCCAGAATAGAACATACAATTTATGATTTTGCGAAACTAATAAATTAATGGCACTAGGAAATGTCAAAAGATGCTAATTCGAGATAAGAATACCTACGTTAATTATCTTGCTGCAATATTACCTGTAGTATTTAGAATTTGAAATTATAATTTGAAAAAATAACATCGCAGAAGTATTCGTCGCGAGAATCTGCTCGAAAACTTGTTCGCATAAGTGGTAAGCACGTGAAAAGATTTTCCGTGTTGGCACGTATACTTTTCGCTAGAAGCGTTAACAGCCGCTGCTTCTTCGTCTCATGCTCCTTCCTTTTATGCCGTACTAACGCGCGACAGAAACCGAAGAATTTATTCGGACCGCTTATCGAGACCTCCCAGGGAAGAAGACCGGTTGTCCATTCGAAGATTAATGAACGCTAGCTGTACTAGGAGCGGAGGCTCATTAGAACGCATTAACCTCGAGCACATTCATTCTTTTTTCACGCGTTACTCAATCCTGATGACATATTGACCACTACTCGAAATATCAACCTCGAAGAAAAAATATAGCCACTATTGCCTACCATAAATTGCGCATCGTTTGCAAAATAATCTTTTCGACACAGACTATCTTATGAATACGTACGTATGCAAATAGTGACATATATATGTAAATAATTATTCGAGTTTAACGACTTGTATTTAGAACTATTGCCATACGATTCAGTCATATCCGTTGTTTTATTACTAATTCAAAAATGTAACAAATTATTCTCTAATTCAACAATTGCCAAAACTATTGTAAAATATTGCGAGTATATACAATTTTTAAAATTATATTATATCTTCTCTATTCTTAATATTATTCGTATTATAATTTTTAAAAATTGAATCTAATTAAAGATGTATCATATGTGATATACATTGCTTTTCAATTATGTTTCTCTGTAAAGGTTATGAAAAAAATCATCCTATAAATATATCAATTAAATATAATTAATCTTTATAATTTATCTTTAATTAATTTTCGAATATATAAGTAAAAATCAAAAATCAGGTATGACACTAATCGCGGTAATACATACAAATACAAAATTTTCTGTGAAGCTTCGATTAACCATCGACAGTCTGAACGACATGTGTGCGAACGTTAATGGTTTCCCTGGATCATATCTTATCATTATTATCGTGAATCGCTCAGAAGAGGCTAATTTATCTGCCGGCAGTATATGGAATGCAGATAATTTTATAATATATAGCAAAGCCAAGAGTATATAATTTTAAAGGAAAAGATTTCCATCTCATACCAAACATACCAAACGGAAGCATTTTGCATAAATAGCTTATCACTCGCATGTTCTACTAGTAGTAAAAAAAATTATAAATCTAATCAAATAATGCATCTTATACTGTTTCGATTTCACTTTTCCACATACTATATTATCTTTAGTTAGTAAAGTCATAAAATATTCTGAGAAAGAAAGTTTTTAACTATTAAAAAATATCCTTATAAATTTATGTAAAATATTCTTATAAATATACATAAAATTTTATATACATATGCAAAATTATATTTTAATTATAATATTTAACGGTGAATCAACTTAAAAATGATCAATTAAAGTATATTGAGACTACTGATTTATAAAATTGGAATACGTTACTTGGAATATATTTTTGCATTTAATATTATAAAAAAATATTTTTTTCAATTATCTATATTTAATATATAATATTTTTTGCAGAGAAAGTTGAAAGTTACACAATCTTGAAATTGATAATTAAGAGATGCTAGTAAACGTGACAGAATCTTTATATATACGTTCTTCGCATAAATACAATAGAAAAAAAATACAAAAAGGTGATAATAATTTTATGCTCTAAGCTTGTTTAATGTATAAACCTTTTTGTACGTGTAACGCAACCGACAAAAACGAATAAAAATTGCAAAACGATTTAACGCTCGCGATTAAACAAAACGGTAAGCAATATAACCTTTATCAAAATAACGATATCTCGAATTGCGATAAATAGTATTCGATTAAGCATACCGTAAATTCCGTCGCATTGACCATTTTGGTTACCGCAAATATTTTTTATTGTTTCAAAGAGATATTTATTTTTTTATTTCAATGAAAAAAAAGATATTTCCTTTGTCTACATAATCGAGGAATTGAATGAAACCATTGTGTAATTGTAGTTTATTAAGAATCAATAATATTTTGGCGACTAATGAAAAGAGTTTCAGGCAATTTATATAACTTAGAACAATATACAAATTTTATATAAATTTTGGCAACCCCGATTCTCTCTAACTGGTTCAATTCTTTCGAGATAGAGTGTATAAATTTTATTCTACTACATCAAAACTGATTCATTCCAAAGTGTGATAAGACGAAACACATATCGAGCAATGAATTCGTTGCGCAAATGAAGACGAGAACTTCGATTACATCGCGCAAAGAGCCAACAAAGGATAAGTAGGACTTGCCGATCGTGTGAAAACAAGGCGTATGTAAAAGAAAAGAGAAATAAATTTGAAAGCGTACTCACCTCGGTGCGCTGCGATAACCTCTTGTTCAGCTCGTGGAGCCTGTAGTCCGGCTGGCTGTAGCCATAGGCTGGAGTATGCCTCCTGGGGACAGGCAACGATCTGTCAGATCAGACCGATCGGTCAATGTTAGGTGTGCTGTGTACAGCGTGTTACTCTCGCGTGTATGCGCGAATGTTTCATGCATACAATACACCAGCGATGGTCGCGTTGCGTCGAGCCCCCTCGTCGAATTTTCGTAAGGCATCCCTAGAGGAGGGGTACTACCGATTGGTTGCTTGACTCTCTCGAGCACGAGCACAAAATGCCCTCGGACATGGCACAGATTCGCGAAATGTAGTCTAGGACTTTTAGCACATCCGCATCAGTTTTCGATTTTTTTCAACGCAAGGGCGTTGGAGAAGCGAAAATTTATAAATGCCACAAGTGTCGAAGGGCTCGATGCAACACTCAATCTCTAATGCATTTCGTCGAAAAAAAGCTCTGAAGAATTAATTAAAATTATGTTCGCTCAAAATGAATTTATTCAAGTCCTAAAATAAAAAAAATTGTCGAGATCATTGTTATAGTTAATTTTTCACTTATGTAATTTTAATAAATATGATTTCAACGCTGTACACTTGTAAAAGTTTCTTACTTAATACGTAATGTCTACGTAAATATATCTACAATATAACAGTGAGACATTCTCTGGAACTTTCTCAATGTTGTAAATTTCAATCTTCAATTGAAGATATAATTTCAGTAAGCTCAGATTTCGCTACTGTAAGCGAAAATTATTTCTTGTGTGTGACATAATATACTCGTACATCTTTCAAAAAGATTCAGCACTTTTCTCTGCAGAAGAATGTAACAAATGCTATCAATTCTAAAACGAAAGGGAGGCGATAAGTTGTTATCGTGCCGCGAAATATATAATTAAAATGTCATTAACCTTTTTTTTTTCTTATGCCGCAAATGCGAAACACTGGCCAAGAATATGTCCCGAGACAAATATAATTCTTTCCTCTTCTCTTTTTTATTACATTTTTTATATTCTTTTTTACTGCATTTTATAGTTTTTTCTTGCAATGCATTAATTAATCCGCGACATGTTTCAATATTTTAAGGAAAATTATATAACTGAAAATATCTAAAGAAGCAAATTATCGTAATTATCTTTGTATCAATTCGACATTACAATTAATAAAATCATATAAGCTGCGTGTTTCTTCACGTGTATAGTTTGACAATGTCATTTCAACTTTGATAGCTCCGAGATAGATAATGAATGTGCATCTTGCTTTTTCAAAATGTAAGGTGAATACATTTACTATAAAATGCAATGTATTATTATTTTATAAAAAAAAGATATAATATATATAATATATAAAATATTGTACGCGATTAGAAGTTTTCGACGTACTTTATTACGATCGAGACGATAGACTGAGGAGAAAAATTCAAACGTAAGAAAGATTGAACGTAAGAAAAGTGTTTATAAACAAATAGTAAAATGTATGCGTGTATGCGTATGTATTGTTCAAAAAAAGTAAACAGTAAGAATGAATTGTTCCAGCTCTCATAATAATATTTATAATGAGAATTATTAAACACACAACAATTTCTGTAAAATGTTAAAATAAGATGAAGAGAGAGAACCTATTATTTTTATACATATTAAATTTATTTCCATTTCCACAAAGCAATTTTATGGAGCCACGTCTTATTTAAACACTCTCTTGATGTATATGAAATATTATATATATTTATATATATTTGTTTTCAGATCTTTAATTTAATGTAAATTATTATAAAATAATACAATGTGTTGAAATTTTTTGTAAATTGTAATAAGTCGTAAATATTCCCGAAATAATCCCTTTTCTACTTGAAATTTGCTAAAGAAATATTTTTCAAGCGTATCCTTGTTGTTTGATAGTTTTGATTTAGAAGTTCTGAAATTAATTGCGAATGTGTATATAAAAACCTTTAAAATCGAGCTTTAATAGTATTCGTATATGAATGTATCGTCGTCGTATATTGAAAAGTTTAGCCGCCATTTAGTTGTTTGATGAAATAACATCATATATCGGGATCAATAACGCAAAGGTCGTCATATTTATGTTGTCAGTCCGATTGTCGACGATCATCCGGACTAATAATTCGATAACGATTATCAAATATATTACACGCGAGGGACATATTCAATTTTCACGAATCATAGTACAACGATGAGCTGATTACAATAATTTTGTAATGGCAAACATAAATGCGAATTAATTTCCGTGCACTGCAATACCATGATATTTTTCTTCCATTTCATTTGAGTGCACGACGTCGTCCGTGAATTATTCACTTAGAGGAACAATTCATCGCGCGGCGCGGGTCGAACGTTGATATAAAAACTTCCTATATTCCTAAACGTTTAAAAATGTTGGAAATAATTTTTTTAAAAAAACACGCGTACTGTAAATTTTTCTTTTTATTTCTACCTACAATTTTTCATATGAGAAAGACGATGTGTTTTATTGAGAGCGTTTTATTGAAAGCGTTTTTCAAATCATCGAGGATCAGGTTTTTGGTTCCCGATCGATCGTGAAATAACAGTTGGTTAACCGGCGGGTAATTAACGTCGCATTGATAATATTTAGTGCTCGAAATAGTCCGGATTGTACATTGCGCGCGTATTCGCGTCCCGAGGCCGGACGAATGATCATTAAGAAACAGCGCGGCCCGGTGATTAATAACAAGAGTACGCAGAATATTCCGGTAACAGAGAGTTCAGCGCGCCGAATTTCCGGTAACGAACTTCAGCATCGTTCGATCGATACTATATTTAGCACGTTACACATTATTCTTTCGCGGTGTTTTGCGTAATGTACGAATAAATCGCATAGTCCCAATCTACACGTTGAAGAGAAGCAACAAGATAAATATCAAAGAGAAAATTGTTTTGAAAATGACTTTAAAGATTGTAAGAGATAGGACGATCGAAAGACCCCTTTCTTTCGAATTCTCGGACTATCGACCTTGGTGATACACGTGTCGCAGTTTTTTTTTCCATGGATTAACCAGCCTTGTAAAATCGCATAATCCCAATCTACGCATTGAAGAGAAACAAAAAGATAAATATCAAAGAGAAAATTGTAAAGTTATTTTGAAAATTACTTTAAAGATTGTAAGAGATAGGATGAGCGAAAGACCCCTTTCTTCCGAATTCTCGGGTTATCGACCTTGGTGATACACGTGTCGAAGTCTTTTTTTCCATGGATTAACCAGCCTTGTAAAATCGCATAATCCTAATCTACGCGTTGAAGAAAAGCAAAAAGATAAATATCAAAGAGAAAATTGTAAAGTTATTTTGAAAATTACTTTAAAGATTGTAAGATAGGATGAGCGAAAGACCCTTTTCTTCCGAATTCTCGAGCTATCGACCTTGGTGATACACGTGTCGCAGTCTTTTTTTCCATATATTAACCGGCCTTGTAAAATCGCTATGCTAATTATAACGCATATATGTGTAGTTGTACGAGGCTAAGAGAGGAGGAAAGATAGATAAACAAAGTAGACATAAGCGTTGCGATGATGCGAGAATAATAATTACGCCTATTAGTGTACGTAAGTCTTAGAAATCGGGGGACGGACTTGTTCCGTAATTGACGTTGCAAAAATGTAAATTAACGCTTTATTTAAATCCTCGAATGTCGTAAAAACATTTTATCTGTAATTTTCCATCGGATTTGTGACGCCAATTATGATTGATAGTACATATCCGGTACAGTAATTACATGAGGAAATAACAGATGGTAAATATTTGATATAATAATTAAACGAAGAAACAACAGTTTCTTCTTGCAATCAACCACGTTAAGTTAATTAGAATTGGAATGCAAATAAAATAATTCTATACACGAATTTTGATAGAAATCATAATTTCAGAAAAATAATCCTTAGCCACAATGATAAGGCTTTTTATTCAGCGCCATCGATAAGATAAATCGCTACAATATTTTTCAAAATCTATGTCATGAGAAAATATTAAAAATTGTAAATAGATAACTTTGTCTAATCTTGCAATCTACATGATAGATAAATATATGGATGTCAACAAACTTATATTTAAAATTAAAATTAAAATTTAAGCGCGATTAAGAGTAAATTGAAGAGTATATTTGTCGATAAAACTTTAATAAATGTCAACTAATGAAATAAATAATTATGAATAATAGAGAGGTCGGATCAAGACTGGAGAAAAGATTCAGCGTGATTCTCCTTTTTCATACGCGAGAAAATACGCTGCTCCAAGATCGATCGCGTCGGGAAAGAAAACTCGGACTTTCTCGTCTCCAGAGAATCGACGCCATGGGACTTTGGCGACACGTCACTGTCGCACACGTGTAAACGCGCGCATGTGTACGTGCGTCAAGCAAATTTACCAGGGGTGAGTTCGAGGACTTAAGGGTTGCAAGGGTAACCCAGTGTTGTATACGATTTACTAGGGAGTGACGAGACGCGTGAACAAGCCTTTCGGCTCATTCGAGATATCTCGAGAATAAATGCTCGATGCATTGTAATGATGGAAATTATATTGAAAAAAAATCGTTAAATAAGACTCGAGGTTTTTCGAACTTTAATCTCACATATTTAATAAATTATTTCTACTCTCCTAAAAATTAATTGTTCATAAAATTCAGATAAGATTTATTTATTTAAAAATCTCCATTTTCTTAAAAAATTTTAAACGTCTAGTCGCCTACTAACAATTTATTGAATTCGATTACTTGCAATTTCTCGAATCGAATAACAGTCATCTGAGAATTGATCCAAAGAGACGTAAAGGGACGCGATTGTTTCCGGATTGTGTCGGAAACACTCGCGCGCGGCACACTTGAGGAATCGAGCGTGTAAAGACGGAATTGAATCGCGCTAATATTTAGTCCGATAACGTAATTTCACGCGAGGCACGTAGAGGCCGTAGAGCGTCGTGCAATAACCCCCGTACCGTGCGTGCATGTAACGCCTGGCTTTTCATTCAAGACGTGCAGCACCGATCGAACTAATTAATTCGTCGCACGACAGGCAGGTCGCCGGCGCGAGCCCGCTACGATTTTTACTCGCCT